CATGGACCTTGTTTCTGCCTGCTACCTGGATGTTAGTCTGCTGCCTGTACTGACCTGAACCAATACTCTCCTCAAACCACAGGTAATCTTTTGTTAACATTTGTTTCTGCACAATGTTGATGTTTGTGTTACACTTGTTGCAATATTAGGCACATAATCTGTACAGACATTGAAAAGGTCTTACACAAGTGGTATTCCCATAATCAGGAGGAGTAGCAGAATGTATTTTGGGGTGTAATTCTTGGTATGTCCATGCTGTTTGTTAGAAATATCTTACAGATTGACAACTTTATGTAAAAAAAAATACATTTTCATGTTCTTTCCACACATTTTCTGAAAAGTTGTGGAAAAAAAAAAAATGCTCAAAAAGACTCATTATGCCTTTTAGAAAATTTGTTGTGGTGTTTTCTTTCCAAAATGGGGTAATTTTGTGGGTGTTTCCACTATCTTGCTGTTCCGGGGCCTTCAAAAACGTGATAGGTTGTCAGGAAATTAGATGTATAATTTTTGCCCCTAGAATTCCTAAAGGGGCTACTTGGATGTTGGGCCTCTCTATGTGGCCAGGCTGTGGAAAAGTCTCACAGATGTGGTATCGCCATAATAAGGAGAGGTAGCAAAATGTATTTTGGGGTGTAATTTTTGGTATGTGCATGCTATGTGTGAGAAATGTCCTATAAATGGAAAACTTTGTGTTAAAAAAAAATTATGTTTTCATTTTCTTTCCACATTTTCCAAAAACTTGTAGAAAAAAAATGACATGTTCAAAAGACTCATTATGCCTCACATAAAATATGTTGGAGTGTTTTCTTTCCAAAATGGGGTAATTTTGTGGGTGTTTCCACTATCTTGCTGTTCCGGGGCCTTCAAAAACGTGATAGGTTGTCAGGAAATTAGATGTATAATTTTTTCCCCTAGAATTCCTAAAGGGGCTACTTGGATGTTGGGCCTCTCTATGTGGCCAGGCTGTGGAAAAGTCTCACAGATGTGGTATCGCCATAATAAGGAGAGGTAGCAAAATGTATTTTGGGGTGTAATTTTTGGTATGTGCATGCTATGTGTGAGAAATGTCCTATAAATGGAAAACTTTGTGTTAAAAAAAAATTATGTTTTCATTTTCTTTCCACATTTTTCAAAAACTTGTAGAAAAAAAATGACATGTTCAAAAGACTCATTATGCCTCACATAAAATATGTTGGAGTGTTTTCTTTCCAAAATGGGGTAATTTTGTGGGTGTTTCCACTGTCCTGCTGCTCCAGGGCCTTCAAAAACATGATAGATTGTCAAGAAATTAGATGTGTAATTTTTGCCCCTAGAAGGCCTAAAGGTGCTACTTGGATGTTGGGGCTCTATGTGGCCAGACTGTGGACAAATTCTCACACATGTGCTATCCCCATACTCAGGAGTAGCAGAATGTAGTTTGGGGTGTAGTTTTTGGTACGTACGTGCTATGTGTTGGAAATATCTTAGAAATGGAGAACATTGTGTAAAATAAATATGTTTTCATTTTCTTTCCACATTTTCCGAAAACTTGTGGGAAAAAATGACATGTTCAAAAGACTCATTATGTCTCACAGAATATACGTTGGGGTGTTCGCTTCTCAAAATGGGGTCATTTTGTGGGTAATTCCATTGTTTTTGTGCTCCAAAGCCTTCAAAACTGTAATAGGTAGTCAGGAAATTAAATGTGTAATTTATACCCCTAGGACACCTGACGGTGCTCCTTGCATGTTGGGCCTCTCTAAGTGGCTAGTGTCAGGGATCGCGGCTCCGTAATCCAGGATTGCGGCGCCGTCCCCCGCGCATGCGCATTGGAGGCAGATCACGCCGGGACACAGGCACTAGGTCCCGGCGAGCCGCGGCTGACAGGACGCCGGCATGCGCAGTAGGAGCCGCGGGCGCGCCTCAGGCGTCCAATGACAGCCGGGGGCGCGTCCTAGCCGGCCAATGACAGTGCAGGGCGCACTATTTAAAGATGCCCTGCACTGTCACAGATTGCCGCAAGGTCTTTCTGTGATTCTGAGTTCCTGCACCCGTCTAGTGACCCTGATTGACCCTGACTAAGCTGCCTGCCCCTGTGATTGACCCGGATTGCCCTGACTACGCTGCCTGCTCCTGTGATTGACCCGGATTGTCCTGACTATTCTGCCTGCTCCTGTGTTTGACCCGGATTGCCCTGACCATTCTACGGACTGACTTACCCTGCTGATCCTGCGTGCGACCCAACTACTCTGTGCCCACCGATTCTGTACCTCGCTTACCCTCACGGGCCCACGATCCGTTACTACCCTGCTGGGGCCGCCATTCCCTTCACACCTGTCCCCGGAGGTCTCCTCAGCCACTGGTGGGCCTGCTCGGAGGTCGTGACCTGGCCCGGGACTGTTTCAAGTCCATCCCCACCATCAGGGGCCCTGGTGAAAGCACAGCCCGGGCTTAGACCCCACACTCTGAGTAGGTCTGTCAGTTGGCAGCCTGAGGCACCACCTGGCGGATCATAACAGCTAGGCTGTGAAAAAGTCTCACACATGTGGTATCCCCGTACTCAAGAGGAGTAGCAGAATGTGTTTTTGGGGTGTAGATGCAAGTATGCATATGTTGTGTGGTAGAAATAACCTGTTAATATGACAATTTTGTGGAACCAAAAAAAAAATCTTAATTTTCAAAAAATGGGTCATTTGGGGGGTATTTGTACTGTCGTGGCTTGTTAGTGTCTCAAGAAATGAGATAGGATATCGGTAATCAGGTGTTATCAATTTTCACTGATTGATACCATAGCTTGTAGACTCTATAACTTTCACACAGACCAAAAAATATAGACAGAATTAAGTTTTTTTTTACCAAAGAAATGTAGCAGTGTACATTTTGGCCAAAATGTATGAAGAAAATTACTTATTTGCAAAATTTGCAAAATAGAAAAGAAGAAAAATGTGGGTTTTTTTAAGTTTTTTTTTTATTTATAGCCTCTCAAAAAAAAAAAAAAAAAACAGTGCTGATTAAATACCACCAAAATAAAGCTCTATTTATGTGAAAAAAAGGACAAAAATTTAATATGCATACAGTGTTGCATGACTGAGAATTGTCAAAGTATGGCAGTGCTGAAAGCTGAAAATTGGTCTGGGCAGGAAGGGGGTATAAGTTCCAGTAGGCAAGTGGTTAAAGGTGTGAAGTCAAGTTGTGGAGTATATGAAGGAATTATATTGTACAGCCAGTGTGTGATGTTATTGCATATCCTTTATATCTAGATGCTCAGGCTTTAGGAGGACTTCAGTCATTGTATATTTTCCACTCTATCTTTCATTATTTGTTGGCTTTTACAATGGACTCTCTGATATAATAGAGCAGTAGGATCCTTTCTACTGTAATGATATATACTTGGTCATTTTGTGGCTCCTGCATACAGTATATTTATTTTTGTTTTATCGTAGTGTTGATACCTCTGCTATTCTGGCTTCAAATCCACCCCTTTCCAGATAAGTCATTGAAGGGGACTGGATTGTATGTGTAGCTCTACCCCCTTAGACGGGTTTATAAGCCTTGGAGGATGTTCTTGAGCCCAGTTTGCTGCTTATAATCTGTGCAGCAATTCTTTCTGGTGTGTGCATTTGGATTGGTGGTGGGACACACTGAGGATTTTTGTTGGAGAGTCTGGAAAAGACAGATACATCACTGAGGAGTGTTGTTATAATATGAACTGTTCTCACTAGAGATTTTCACATTTATGGACTATTGAAATATTTATACATGTTGATTTAATTAGTTTGTACATTGGCACTTGTCATAATTTTAATTTTTGAGCACTGCACTATACTGCATAAGATTGCTTGTTCATCTGCTGATACTCTTAGATGACTTTTGTTTTAATTTCTGGTCTTTGAGTGTCAGGACGTAGCATATTATAGAACAGTTATGAAAGTTATTTAGGACATTTATTTATAGAGGTTTAAAAATTAGACCAAAAAGAGGAATAACACAGGGGGAAGAGGGACAGATGGATTTGGTTACAGGAGACACTGTCCCTCCAACAGAATCAACTTCTTGGTGTATGGAGTCACCTCCTGGCCTCATTTCTCTTGGGTATCCCAATGGTGAGATCTGCTACCACAAGGCTGACTCGGTTCCTTCCCACCATGCAGTTTAGGGTGCCTTCACTTACTCCTATAGATTGTTTGTAATATAATGGAAATGATCAATATAGCATTGTTGGTGGGAAACCCACATAATGAACGTGGCAGGTGTGCAGAGCCAGGATCTCACTATAAGAGACCCTGAGTGATAGGAGAGATTGTCAAGTAATTGAATTATTGAACACCTCCAGTCCCCGAGAGATACAGTATATGTTTTGGGTGGACTGACAGTATAAAAGTCATGGATGGACAAAGAAAAGTGGGCATTCATGTTAAGGATCCCCTCAAAGGCGGTAAGGGCATGCCTGACATCACAACTTAACTGAGGAAGTTCTTTGCTTAAAACTGCATCTGTAGGACTTTGACTGATAGATCAGTGGACTCTGGCAGCAACTTCATGTCCTATTTTTTTAACTTCTGTCTTTTTGGAGGTTCCTTGGATGGGACAAATGGTACAACTCCATCCCCTACAACTAGGAAACTTCTTGATTTTCTTTGGACACTTTTAGGTTTATTAAAAGAGCAGAGGCTACATGGAGTCAAGCCCAACTTGTGGAAGCCAAAGACCCGAGATGTTCAGACAAGGACTGGTGGAGTCTGTTCCTGGCCTATCTATAGCCACTTGAAAGGTAGTCTTATGGAATGTTTCTTTAACCACTTACCTACCGGGCACTTTTTTCTTAGTTTCTGTTATAAAATTTTGTAAATAAGCAATTTTTCTCCTTCACTGATGTGCGCTAATGAGGCTGCAGTGATGGGCATTGATAGGCTGCACTTATGGGCACTGATAGGTGGCACTGATGGACATTGACAGGCATCACTGATGGGCACTGGTAGGCTGCACTGATAGGCGACACTCATTGGCACTGATTGGAACTGTTAGGCAGCAAGATTGGAACTTTTAGGCAGCACTGACTGGCAATGATAGGTAGCACTGACTGCCAACACTGACTGGCACTGATAGGCGGCAATGAAAGGCAGCTCTGATGGGCACTGATATGTGGCATTGATGTGCACTAATAGACACTGACATGTGCCATTGATGTACACTAATAGGTACTGGTATGCGGCATTGATGGGCACTGACAGGTGGCATCAGGGCCCTGATGATCAGTGTAGATGTCCCCCCTGAGCAATGCCGATTACCAGTTCTCCTCTCCTCACAAGCTGTCAGCGGGAGGAGAGGACTGCCGATAACCGGCATTTCCTATTTACATGTGATCAGCTGTGATTGGACACAGTTGATCACATGACAGAGCCGACTTCATCGGCTCTTTACAGTGATCAGTGATCCACTACACAGTGGACAGAATGCACCACCGATTGCAGCACCACGTGGCCCCCAGTGTGTGCATGTGCAGTCAGAGTGGGAGAACGTCATATGACGTCCTCCCAGAACAAGAGAACCACCGCCTGCCCATCATTACCTTATATGGCAGATGGGAGGTGGTTAAAGAGACTCACCAATAGGCACAAAGATCGGGCATTGATGGTGACTAAAGGGAGATTGCCACTAAAGACATTTATGCATGCCACAAACCTGTGCAGATACATGCACTGTCCCTTTTGTATCATCCATGAACAAAATGCTTTATGTTTCCTGGGAGTGACTCATTATGCAGGACCTGTTAGGGGCCGTGGAACCATAACTCAAAGACTTGGTACCACAAACAGCACAAGAGGACTTTGATGGTGCCTGGCGGGTGATGTGTTGCTTTAAGGACACTTTGTGGTGTACCTGAAAGCGCTTCATCCACTAGAGGGAAAGGATGTCCATTAAGGACTGTCACAGATTCCTCCACAGTCTGTTCTAAGGAGGAGGGGAATTTTGCCTTCCATAACATTCCCTTATATGTATGTGTCCTTCAATAAAGCTTTGAGCCTATGAACTCTTTTCCCCTTCCTTATCTCTCCTTCCTATACTCCTTTACACCCATTGTTTGTTGAATTTAAAACATTTTTTTTAGTTTTTTCCACATAATACACACATTAACACTTGTTAGGCACACGCTTATCCCATTGAGTACCCTGAGATGTTAACCCCTTCCCAGCCAGTGTCATTAGTACAGTGACAGTGCATAGTATTATCACTGATCACTATATTAGTGTCATTGATGATGCCAGCTAGTCAGTTCCCACCCAGTGACAGTGTCAGATTGCCCGCAGCACTATCACAGTCCCACTATAAGTTGCTGATCACTGCCATTACTAGTATAGAAAAAAAAACATTAAAAAATGAAAATTCCAGCATTCCATAGTTTGTAGACAATATAATTTTCACATAAACCAATCAATATACATCTATTGGGATTTATTTTTTTACCAAAGGCATGTAGCAGAATACATTTTGCTCTAAATGTATGAAGAAATGAGATCCCACCCCCCCAAAGCCCCCAACCATTGGACCAAGATTCACCCATCTGCCAAATGAGCACACTGAAAGTTCTGATAAATTCTGTGTCGGCCATGAATACAAACCCTATTCCTGCTCAGCATTGCAGTGTCTCTGCAGCCCAGGTGCTCCTTGGGATAACACTGCACTAGCAGTGGAGCTCCTCAGTAAGATGCATGTCCTTCCCAGTGTTTAGCATGTCTCTGCTTCCAGTTTTGCCCAATGAAACTGCTCTGTTGGTTTGCATGTCCCGCTGCTGGGATGAGTGGTGGCTGCCAATGGTGCTTATGAGTGGCAATTGGGGGCATTTAGAGGTCCAGAGGATCCTGGAGTGTAGGTAATTGTTATTGGTAAAGTTCTGAATGGTTGTATGTTATTAGATAAGGAGAGTCAGGGACATGATAATAGAGCTACAGTGTGTGATATCATCGAGCATCAGGATGCAGTGACCATCTTGTTGGTTGGACACAACACTTAGAGACTGGTGACATACCAGTTTTATTATCTTTTTATGTAAGTGAATTACTTTGAATAAAAATTGTTACCTGTTTTACTACACTATGAGATGGTTTTTCTCTCCTCTGATTGACTTTTTTTTAGAGTAACCCTGCCCATCTGGTTGGATCGATCTGTAAACCAAAAAAGTGTGATTTTGGGGAGATGTTGGTGGAGAGTCTATCCTTGATGTCCCCTACAGCTTTGTACAGCACTGTTTGACCGTACCTTTTCAGGGTGGTCAATATTCTTTAGTAAGAGGCATTGTGATTGGTTTGATGAAAGGTCTTCTTCATTTATATATCATTCCTTGAGCACCATCATCTACTGACCAGCTCATCAAGACTTTTTTTGGGTGGACTATTTACACTCTTTCAGCTGACTTGCACCATTTGTTCATCTGAGAGATTTTTTAAATTTATTTGTTTGTTATTCATATTGAAATGTTTTAGGGAGGTATCTGCTACTATTAGTGCTGCACTGTCTTTTTATATGCTATATTGTAGCCTGAAATCTTGTGCTAGCTACTTTTTTAGAGTTTTGAAGAAGTTTTAACCCAAGCTCAATTATTATAGGTGTTACAGTATGATAATAAAGGGCGGAGGATCTTAGGTAGAGCTATGGAAAAGAAGGAAGCAGTCTTTCCTGTTTGAAAGTGAAAGCAGTATAGTTACATTTTAATGCCTGTGCCGCACCTAAACTTCTATATGTTTTCTGTGTTCTAAGCTGCCTGAATGTCCTACAACAAATCAGTCCCACCTGGAAGGTAAGATTAAATGTTTTTCTATATAATAGAGAGACCTATACATGAGGTTGGGGGGCTAATCTAGAGGTGTGATAAGAGTAAACTGTAAAGTATGGCATTCTTTAGTTACTCTGGTTACATTTGGGTCTGGGACTGCTAAACTTTGACACCTAAACTTAGGTGCTTATAACATATAAAAAAAAACATGTTTGTGATGTCTTACTACCATTTTTCTTTAGAAATCAGTGTTTTCCAATCAGCATGGAGCATGAGCTTTGCTAAATGCAGAGCTATAGGTCTGACACATCCATCACATTTATGGACTGTCAACCATTATATTTAACATTTTTTGGGGGGGCTTAATTGGAAGATTTTAAAAAAACAATACACACACATTGTTCTTCTTGTGGTGTATTTTGTTATTTTCATTGTTTTAACATGTAATGATAAAGAAGGGAAAGGAAAAAAAGCAAACAAATTGTGTACTCTCAATAGAATACGCTAAAAAGTAAAGAGGGGGTTGTATTTATTTATTTTAATCCCATCATACATGATCATGATGATTGTGTTTTAAAGGAAAAAAACATAAAAACAAATTACTCTAAAAAAATCAATGCAAAATATATAAAATTGAAACATTTCTGTGACCTTTTTAATATGCTTCTTCATTTTTTGGTATATTGTGTCATTTTAGGTATTTTACATTATCGATAAAAACAGAGTAAAAATAGCATACTGTAACACAAGGCATATACTTCTGTTTCAGTCTCAGATATGTTCAATTTGCAATTTGGACTATGCCTAAAAACAAGGGAACATATAATTAATGTGTTAGTGGTAAACCCCTAAAAGTAAATGAGAAAAATGTGTGCTTTGTCTTGGTTTTTTTTTTTACATATTTTGGTGTATTTTTTTGTTATTTGAGGTATTTTTACACAAAAAAAAACTAAGCAAATACTGAGACATTTACATTTTTAACATGGAGTGACAAGCCTCAAGATTTGCATGGACAGCAGGGGGTTTTACACATAATGTGGGTAAACTTCACAAGCCAACTTGTATAAACCAAAAGGTGCAAATAGTGCTATGCAAAATGAATAATAAACAATGTAAGATGCAAAAACAAATATTATCATTTGCTATCACTGTGCACCCTCATATATGCATAAAATCCATGCAATACATCCTCTCAGAAGACATATGTGCGTTCTTATATAGCATATATATATATACACATATATATATATATATACATATACACCCATATATAGGATAATTACCGGTATTTCCCGGCATATAAGACGACTTTTTATACTTAAAAACATACCCCAACAATTGGGGGTCATCTTATACGCAGGGTATAGAATGTCAGCCCGCTGGATGTGCGGTAATACTGTATGGTAGCTTCGGCTACATACAGTATACCACGCTGAGCCAATCACGGCAAGCGATGTATTCTATTAAAATACAGAGCCTGCTCGGATTGGCTGAAGTTGTGACATCATCAGCCCACCTCTCTGACGCAGCCAATACGAGCAGGCTCTGTATTCATTAATAGAATACATCACTTGCCGTGATTGGCTCATATGACGTCCTCCTATTCTCCGCACATGCACGGCTCAGGGAGCGTGCGGTGATCGGCGGTGCGCTGTGTCCCTCGGTCACAGCAGATCACCGATCACAGAAAGAGCTGAAGATGCCGGCTCGGTCATGTGATCAGCTGTGTCCAATCACAGCTGATCACATATAAACAGGGAAATGCCAGTTATCGGTATTTCTCTCCTCTCGAGCTGTCACGCTGACAGAGGAGAGCTGGTAATCGGCTTTCCGCGGAGGGGACATGTACACTGATCATCAGGGCACTGATGATCGGTGTGCCCTGATGATCAGTGTAGCCCCAGCAGTGCCACCTGTTAGTGTCCATCAGTGCCACATTAATGCCACCCAGTACCCATTTGAGCTGCCTTTCAGTGCCACCCATCAGTGCCAGTCAGTACCACCTATCAGTGCTGCCATTCAGTGCCGCCTATCAGTGCCATGTATCAGTGCTGCCTTTCAGTGCCCATCAGTGATGCCTGTCAATGCCTATCAGTGCCACCTATCAGTGCTGCCAATCAGTGCCACCTATCAGTGCCGCCTGTCAGTGCCGCCTATCAGTGCCAGTCAGTGCCGCCTAACAGTGCCAGTCAGTGCCGCCTAACAGTGCCAGTCAGTGCCGCCTAACAGTGCCAGTCAGTGCAGCCTCATTGGCGCACATCAGTGAAGGAGAAAAATCACTTATTTACAAAATTTTAGAACAAAAACTAAGAAAAAACATTTTTTTTTTCAAAATGTTCAGTGTTTTTTTTAAGAAAAAATTAAAAAACCGGGGTGATTAAATAAGACCAAAATAAAGCTCTGTCACAAAAAAATGATAAAAATGTCATATGGGTACAGTGTTGCATGACCGCGCAATTGTCATTCAAAGTGTGACAGCTCTGAAAGCTGAAAATTGGCCTGGAAAGGAAGGGGGTATAAGTGCCCTGTAGGCTTGTGGTTAAATGGTGTTGCCTCAGAAGGGGGGTAGTCTTATACGACGAGTATAGCCCAAAACCTATGTTTTAACTGGAAAATTAGGGGGTCGTCTTTAAAACCAAGTCGCCTTATATGCCGGCAAATACGGTATAATAAAACCATTAAATGAATTCCTCAAGGGTTATTGTACTTAATAATTTGCTATAAAGCAAGTCAGGTTTGTGATATGGGGGATGTTTAGCTCAGTGGTAGATGAAATTTTCGTACAGTGAGTCCATGTCACAAAGACATTATAGTTAAGGGCCTGGTAGCCCACTCTTATTAAAGTGTAGAAAACAAAACAAAAGCCCTTTCAGGATTCCCACTCAGGGGTTCAACTTAATTCAGCAAATAGAAAATGAAAAATACTGAGCCACCTGGCTCTCTGGTCAGCAGTTCCTCTGCTTGTTTTGGTCTTCCAGACCACTAGCTATTCAGGCTCTCTCTCACATAGGTGAGAGCACCTTGCTGTTCAGGCCCACGTGGCCTCTTGACAGTGTTTTCCCAGTATTTCCAGCTTGCACCCCAGAGATTTCTGGATTCTCTCCTCCCCCCTGGACTCACTGGCCTCCGCATCTTCCTCAGTCTCCCAGACTCTCAAAGCTTGACAGACTTTCCCAATCCTTGGGCCCAGAATCCCCCTCACATGGGTTGTAGTCTCCACCAGAGACTCACAGCTGTCCTGACAGGGCTCTGTCTTCAAACAGCTCCAACTCTAACTTCCACCACCTACTGTTCTAACTTTTAAGGGCTGTTTGCACCTGGGCGCAAACCCTGCTGGTTGTCCACAACACTTGGACATTGGGTTGGAGATTCCATCCCAAGACTCTTAGGAATATCCAAACTACAAAGCCCCATCCGTAAATATCAAGATCTGGAGAAAGCTGCAAAAGTAGTTTTTTCCACTATGCACTGTAGCCCTGCAGTCAGCAGACATGCAAATTCTGTGTCTTTTCCCTGGCCATTTACAAGGTGAGAGAGCCTCGTACTGTCACAAGGTCCAATTCTATATTTAGGCCTTTTGAGCTAAGAGTGTATAATACATGTATTCACTGTGATTCATTGTGGAAGACGCCCCTTTTTAAATTAGATTCCGCAAATGTTTACGTGTTCTATCCATCCCATAAAAAGTAATACATTTCTTCAGGTTCACTTCAGGTTAGTACACGACAGAAACCCCAAACGTTCTACTTTTTTTATGGGAATGATAGAAGCACATGGATTTCTCATGCAACATTCAGCAACCTTACTACAAGTATTACCCAATTTAAATGAGAAAGTCGACAGAGATGAACCAACAGCTTTGTACTGAGTGTTTCAAGCAGATCAAGGGCCCTGGGATCAGGGGGAAGGGCACCGGAACTAGAGGAAAGGGCCCTGGGACCAGTAAGTCAGGGGAAGGGCCCTTCATGGTTTCTTGCACCAGGGTTCAAGTTACACCTCTGACATAGTGTATAAAGATTTTGCTAAGACATTTGATACAGTACCTCTCAAATGCTTAATTAAAATCTTCTGGCACTGATAATATTCGATGTACCTGGATAGTAAACTAGTTACAGGAGTGCATCCAGAGGGGTGGTGACTAATGGCATATTTTCAGAATGATCTGGCGTTGTCAGCGGGGTGGCCCAGGGCTCTGTCCCAGGACCAACTCTCTTTAACTTGTTCATAAACGACATAGAGGTTGAAATAAATAGTTCAATCTAAGTGTTTGCTGATGATACAAAGCTAAGCAGAGCAATAACTTCACAAGACAGCAATTTGAAGGTGAAGGATCACACATACTTGTAAAACAACTCCTTCAGTTCAAAATAGAAAGGCTAAACATTTATTATACACATATAACACAACATTAAAATACATTTTGTTCCATTTTTCAATGAATGGGCTGTGCGTGGTGGTGGTGGGTTGGGGGTGTCAGTACAAGTATAATCATTGGAGGAGAGCAAGATAAGTTCCCAACACGGCCAGAAAAATAACAACGCTGTGCTCTCATGCCTAGTGTGGTAAGTTTTTTTTGGAAAGCAGAGGGACTGGCAGGAACAACAGGGTTCACACAAAGGAAGCATACATGTACGTGGTACAGCAGGCACATATCGGGAAAATGCAATGTTGGGGTAACATATCCTTTAAAATAGAGGAGTGGCCAGCTATCTGGCAGATGAGGTTTAATATGGAAAATGTAAATAATTTATTAGTAATGCACTTGGGAGCTAAAAATATGCATGCACGTTACTCACTAGGGGGGAACAAGGGAGGAAAATGATATTGGGGGGTCTTTGTAGATAACAGACTCAGCAATTGCAAGCAAGGCTAACAGACTTTTAGCATGCATTAAATTAGTATTTGCTCAAGAGATAAAACTATAATTCTACCATTTTACACAACCACCTTTCGGCCACATCTAAAGTATGCGGTCCAGATCTGGTCACCAGTCCTCAGGAAGCATGTGTTGGAACTGGAGAGAGTCCAAAAAAGGACAAAAAAAACTACTAAAGGGGTTAAAGGACCTTAGATATGAGGAACGACTACAAGCATTAACTGTGTGCTTCCTGGGGAAGAGGCATGTAAGAGAGGGGATATGATCATAATGGAATAAAACTCATCAATTCAAATTAATCCAAACTCAATCTCAGCCACTCCACACCATACAAGCCAAGCAGGTAATAGCAGCTTCCAGTCCACCCCCCTCACATGTTTTGCTTTGCCTACAGGACTTAGTCATGGAGGTGGGTGGGGCAAAACCTGCTGGGGGCATGGACTAGGTAGGGTTAGGCTGAGGCTGCTGTTACCTATTACACGCTGGGCTTGCATGATGTGCAGTGGCTGAGATTTCTCTCAGATCGTATGGAGTCAGAGTGGACTCCTAGCCTGATCTGCACCCTCAGTGGAATATACAGAATGGGGGACATACACTATATTTCCAAAAGTACTGGGAGGCCTCTCCAAATCATTGGATTCAGGTGTTCCAATCATCTCAATGGCCACAGGCATATACAATCAAGCACCTAGGCATGCATACTGCTTTTACAAACATTTGTGAAAGCTCTCAGGAGCTCAGTGAATTCAAGCATGGTACAGTGATAGGTTGCCACCTGTGCGATAAGTCCATCCATGAAATTTCCTTGCTACTAAATATTCCACAGTCAACTATTAGTGGTATTATAACAAAGTGTAAGCAACTTGGCACACCAGCAATTCAGGCACAAAGTGGTAGGCCATGTAAAATGATAGAGCGGGGTCAGCGCATGCTGAAGTGCACAGTGCGCAGAAGTCGCCAACTGTCTGCAGAGTCAATAGCTAAAGACCTCCAAACTTCATGTGGCCTTCAGATTAGCACAACAGTGTGTAGAGAGCTTCGTGGAATGGGTTTCCATGGCCGAGCATCTGCTTCCAAGCCTTACATAACCAAGTGCAATGCAAAGCGCCAGATGCAGTGGTGTAAAGCACACCACCACTGGATTCTAGAGCAGTGGAGATGTGTTCTCTGGAGTGACAAATCACACTTGGTCTGGCAATCCGATGAATGTGTCTGGGTTTGGCGGTTGCCAGGAGAACGGTACTTGCCTGACTGCATTGTGGAAAGGGGGGGGGGGGGGGGGGTAAACCGGGACACTGCCAACTATGGACTATATTGAGAATACCTAGGAAAAAGGGGGGTCAGAAGTCATGTAGTAAACTAAATAGTGGCCCGTATTTAAAAACTAAATACATAGAGGATATGCCGACTCACATGGAAATAGCCAAGTGGTGTCCTCAGGACCCAAACATAACTGAGGGAAGAAGAAGGGAAAACAATGACAGAGGCACAAGATGCCTAAGTCAAGCGGGTCCAAAAGAGGTCAAACTGCGACTTGTAATAAGAAAAAATGTATACATCTTTAATTGCAGTAAAAAACACGAATCAATACACATGGTAAAACAAAAACAATGATAAAAGGAGAAAGCCTCACCACTACCAAAGAGAAAAATAGAAGACAATGTAATGGTTGTCCGGGGTGATGCCACGCATGCTATAGTCCCAGCACCAAGGAAGGGTTATTGAAAACCCAGATGAAATGGGTGTAAGATGTGGGAATAGGAGGGATAGTGCCAGAGAAAGTTGTAGAATAGAAATCTAGGTCATGAAGTGAATATAAATGTAAAACATAGTCCGCTTAATTTCTAAACAATTATCTGGATATCACATGAAAAATTGATGGATATTAAGCATGATACCATCTTGAACTTGCCGGTCCGAGAGACTGCGTATGTGCTGGAGTCACCCGGAAGTGACGTTAAGCTTTTCGCCCACCAAGTCACGTGGGCTTCAAGCCACCATCTATACAGCCATGATTTCTTTTTGGAACACTATCTCTATATTGAACACACTAGTGTGAAACCCATCTTGAAAATACAAATTGAATCCGGTCTCTATGGGATATATATTGCTGCACCTGGTTTTATATCTCTATCCAGGTTTATATCATCTGCAGCCTTGAGGACGTTACGGAGAACCTATATTTTGTTTCAATACTATTTTTTGTTATTATCATCATGCTTACTATCCATCAATTTTTCATGTGATATCCAGATAATTGTTTAGAAATTAAGCGGACTATGTTTTAAATTTATATTCACTTCATGACTTAGATTTCTATTCTACAGCTTTCTCTGGCACTATCCCTCCTATTCCCACATCTTACACCCATTTCATC